ACATCCTATATGTGTATGTCATCCTATCCTCATTGGTTAAGAGGGCGAAACTCACCTCGACATATGCCTATATAAGATCTGTATTTCTATGAATAAATTGAAGTATTGAGAATACATTTGAATGTGTGTTTTCTTACTTCCCGGCCGTATTTACACTTTAGGAGACTGAGAAGATTTCATGGTGGCAAAGAGAATTTACAGAGGGACCAATTGTTATTTATTAACAGCGTGTTTGTGAAATATACTATTTAAATAATAAAGTAAAAGAGGCTATATTTAAAATGTTTCATGGTATACGCAGCTAAAAGTGTGTTAGAGAGATTTAATATGGATATTGATTATTCCTGTGATTTGTTTGCTCAATTGAAAAGGAGTCTATATTATCCATCTATTTTGTAATTGTGTCTACACAAGGATATTTATTTTTTATTGTTATTTTTTGGGGGTGGATATGGAAAATGTAATTAGAAGGAAAACAAATATTACATTCAAGTTAAATAATTTTGATATGTATTATTCCAATGAACGTAATAATAATAACTTTACTTTTCTTGTACATCTTTTTATTATTTTGGGGAAATTTCACATACATAAGACGAAGGTCGAGGTCCAAGCCAAATTTCATCCATTCTCTTCAGCAAACTTAAGGACTACTGCACCAGTTTGGATAACATTGTTAATAAAAAAGCAAACAAGACTTGTAATATTTTCCACGAATATATAGTTGTTGATTACTGAATAATTGGTCTGCAGACTCTTGTACATTACTGTTGTATATTTTGTTCTGGTTAAAAAAAACAAAACAAAACAAAAACATGATCGCTGTACCGTCTGACCACTGCAGATTCATTTTGCAGTTTATAGTGCCGCCATAAACGCACAATCCTCTCGTAATTAGGCTACCTTAATTATTTGACGTGGCTTGAACGCAGCATTCAGCTCATCCAACCCCAATCAAACACACCTGAACAAGCTAATTAAGGTATTCCAGATTACTAGAAAACTACAGGCAGGTGAGTTTGATCAGGGTTGGAATTGACCCGATCTCCTTGGATCTTTAAAACCCCATTTTACAGAGGATCATATGGCAGCAACACGCATTTGTAACTGACGCACCAATTCAGCGCATTTTCCAGCACAGATCGTTGTGAGTTCACAGGTCGGGAGGATGACCGCTCGAGTGTATTTGTCGTTAATTGCTGTTTTGTCATATCTGTTCGGGTACTTGAGCATAACTCACGCTATTCAAAGAGGAACC